AGCATTATTTGTGTTTCACATGTTCGACGTTACTTACCGCAGTCCTAAATACTGACGTTAGTCCTTCGCAGTTCTGACCTTGATTTTCGTGCCAGGAGTAGTCAGGGTATCCAGAGATTTTGCCCTTCTCGTCCACTGTGCCCAGAGTCACGGGTCGACCTTCGTCGAAGCGAGGTGTCGTTACGAAAATTCGTGGCGATAGAGTGTCTGAAATTGGATAAAGTGTTTAAACTGGTTGTTCTTGAAGTCGTCTTCACAAAGTCACAAATTCATTGAAGGGGCAATGAATACACTTCTACAATATGATTTCGGTTGTTATTCAAAATTTACCATTTCATTTTTAATTTAATTTCTGGTTGTTATTCCTGAGCGTCTCTCGAACGATTTAAATGCTACATCGCATCACTAAAATGGTCCTTACACAAACGCACTAACGCAGGGTAATAATATAGCGCTACCGTCTATGTGGAAAAGGCACGGAACTAAAACCGAGCGTAACATTTTCGTAACGAAAATGGTCTACATACGAGCACTTTTTCTTATCGAATTTCCGCAGCGCAGCGATCTCTGTGAAACTATAGGTTTTTTTTTACTTTGATGACTTACTATAAAGTTAAATTATTTATGAAGTAAACTGTACAATTAGGAAACTAAAATCAGCAAATTCCGTACTTGTTCCCATTATTACCTATGCTGTAACCTTTGTTTTGACAAACCCAATATTTCGGCACTTCTTAAGTTGTCGACTATCACTCCTTTTTATGGGTGGGGACAGAGATAATTTCTACAATTACAGGCCTATATCGGTACCTATTGCCAGTGATATCTAAAATTCTGGAAAAATTACTCAATAAAAAATTACTAAACTATTTAATAAAAACAATATATTGCCTGTATAGCGACCATGTGTCGAAAGACATGGAAGATTTTCGGAGGATAATATAATATAATAATAAGATAAGGTAATATCCCTGAGTTCTCTAGTTACAGAACAATTTGTCAAACGTAAGAAATATTTGTCAGTATTTTCGGACTTAAGAAAACGTTTGACACCGTCTCTCTCCCCATACTAGTACATAAATTAGAAAATATAGGTATAAGGAGTACTTCACTTTGTACATATCACTGATTACTTGAAAAATGGGAAGCAAACAGTGAAACTAGAAAACTATATCAGTGGGTACAAAGTGATTTTATATTGCGTGCCCCAAGGTAGCGTTCTTGGTCATATAAATGACCTACGTGATATGCAGATCAAGAACGCTAATATCTTCTCTTATGCTGCTGATACGGGCATTGTATTCACTAATAATTCTTGGGATGCTCTGAAGTCTAGTGCGGAACGGGGACCGGAACATGTAAACAGATGGTTAACAAACAATTCTTTTACGTCAAATACTAATAACACAAACGACATCTGTTTCAGTACAAATAACGACACTCAGCCCAAAAACAATTTTTAAGTAAAGATTCACAATTGCAAAACCACAGGTAACACTCGTAACTGAACATTTTATCATAAAAGTTGCACAATCAAAGTATTTGGGTGTTTTTGTGGACCAGCGACTCTGTTGGTATCCACACCTGTCATGTCAGCTCGAACATGTCATTAAAAGAGTAAGAAAACTTAATTGGATTTATAAAATACTAAGCTATGTAGTGTCAGGAACAGTTGCTGGTCTGCAAGATTCGTCTAGGAATTTAAGGAAACAAACGTGAGTTTGGTTCAATGAGTATTGATTTATGTATTCCTGTAGCACTGTTCGATGTAATCGAACACCTTTAACGTAAACGTTTGGCGGCATGCGCCGGCGGTCGCCTTTACGAGTGCATTTCCACAAGTCATACAGATCGGGTGCATTCATAACATTTAACATAACATTTTTACTATTTTTAACAATAAACTTTATACATTTAAACTGTGTTTATCAACATCAACAATCACCACTACCCCGAACATTGGTCCTTCGAGCCTTTCAGGATTTTGGTGAGTTTTTAAGTGTGTTGGCAATCGGTCCGCTGGCCTCCCAGAAGCGGGTTTCACCAACGGATTGAGAAGGTGCATACAGCATACTTTAGAACGAACCAAAATCTCAACGAATCAGTAGAGAATAAATAGGGGTGTGGTGAATTGCAACATTAACATCGAGAATGGAGCATCTTTTGAACAAACAAGCGGAAATCGCGGGAAGCATCGAAAAAATAATATTAAATTTCAAGAAGGAAAATTACGAACGAAGGTGTTCTTCAGCGGAAAAAAGAAAAGGGGATTTGACGGCGCTTTTTGCAGATTTTCATGCCAACAACCTGATTTTAAAACAATATGAAGATAAAACGCATGATTATTTTACGGGTGAACATTATGAAGCAACAAAGAAGTATTATTCGGAAGCGATTGCCTATGTCAACAAGTTTTTGAAAACTTATTTAGACCATGATCGAGATGAACAGACAAACACTGAGGAAAAAGCAGGAACTTCTGGAGTGGACTATACGAGTAAAATAAAAATCTCCAACGGGTTAGATGAGAAGTTACGTAAACAAGCAGCGAACTACAAAGCGTTCCAGCGAACAATTTCAACAATAAACATTGAAACTATAACAGAGAAATGGGAGTTCGAAGATACATTGAAAACATTGGAGTCGCGGTGGTCAACCGTCGACTCTTTACATTGGGAGATAGAAAGCGAATTGAGTGATAAAGATAACAAAGAACTGTACGAGTTATTTGACGTATATGAGAACCAATATAACAGCCTGAAGAAATCCCTAAACACAAAAATGTGGTCTGCAAAACATAGAGACAAAACAACTCCCTTATTGGACGTACCTACCTTCAGCGGCAATTATAATCAATGGATTTCATTCAAAGATTTGTTTTCCGAGGCAATACATAACAATCCGTCACTATCGCAGGCACAAAAAATGCAATTTCTAAAAAGTAAGGTCCGTAGAGAAGCTGAGCGTCTTATACAATACTTGCAGATTAGTTCAGATAACTACATGGTGTGTTGGGAAATACTCAACCACCGTTATGACAACAAAAAGTTAATTTTTTCTACGCACATGAACATTCTTCTTGAACTACCTATTATGAAACATCAATCTTATATACAAATAAAACAAATGCATGACGTCACTCAAGAAAGCCTCAACGCAATCAAGAATCTAGGAGTGGACATAAGCACCTGGGATCCACTGCTAGTGCAAATTTTAGACAAGAAATTGGATACGGACAGCCACGCCGAGTACATCGAGTCATTAAAAGATCGCCGTGAACTACCTATTCTAAAAGATTTCTTAGATTTTTTGGAAGGAAAGTTTACTGCGATGGAATCATCTCGCAGAAAGGGTGATATTAACCCGCAACATAAACAGCATGCATTCAACAACTTATATTCTTCAGCGCAGTCATCCACGTCAAATGGAAAAATTTCGCAATATCAAATCAACAATAATTTGAACAAAGGAAATAATAAGTTCATTGCAAAATCAACATTCCACGTGACGGGAATAAAATGCCCACTTTGTAATAACGATCACGGTCTCTACAATTGCAAAAAAATTCTCGAATTACCAAATGAACAGAAAATTAAATTAACAAAAGATTTGAAAGTTTGCATTAATTGTTTATTTAGCCACAACGGAAATGAATGCAAATCTACAAAAACGTGCCGCAAGTGCACAAAGAAACATAACACCATATTACACGAGCCTTTGAATAAAACTATGCAAAATAGCGCAACAACGACAATGCTGAAGAATGAAAACGTCAACATCCACTCACACGTGTCACGAAAAGAAGAAGACGATTCGGCTGAGATTTTATTGTCAACAGCTATAATAAAAGTTAAGGGTGCCGATGGTACCTATTACAACATGAGAGCACTAATTGACCAGGGTTCTCAAGTTTCCCTGATAACGGAGAGAGCGGCGCAGTTGTTGAAAATTAAGAGGCAACAGTGCAAAGGAACTATTTTTGGAGTAGGAGTGACAGAGAACAACGGCAAGGGAGCTATCAACATTGAATGTCACTCAAATCATAGTGACTTCCAGTTTCGTCGTAATAATGAACACATTGATTGGTAATTTACCTAACAAAACATTTGAGAAGCCGAAATGGAGATTTATAGAAAATATATTATTAGCAGACCCCGAATTTTACATAAGCCGCCCGGTTGACATACTACTCAGCGCCGACATTTACTCACATATCATACTGGGAGGAATTATTAAAGGAGAAGATACAACACAACCGATTGCTCAGCAAACAAAGCTGGGCTGGTTATTATGCGGAAGCGCGAAAACATACCAGTGTAATGTACTCTTAAAGAACATCGACGAGATCAAAAGATTTTGGGAAGTAGAAGAGATCAGCGAACAAACAAACATGTCTTTGGAAGATCAAGAATGTATAAAATGGTGCCATACAACAACTAACAGAAGAGAAGACGGACGTTATGAAGTTAGATTGCCATTGAAGGAGGATATTGAAGACAAGTTGGGGTCATCAAAACAAACAGCATTAGCACAGTTTCGAAGTCTGGAGAAAAAATTTGAAAAACAGCCTAAATTGGAACAAGATTATAAGACTTTTATGAATGAGTACAAACAAATGAGTCATATGCAATTAGCGAGCGGTAACGAGACACCTGAATATTTTTTACCGCACCACGGTGTCGAGCGTTTAGATTCCCTAACAACGCAATACAGGGTGGTATATAATGCGTCGCAAAAAACAAATACAGGCTGCAGTCTCAACGACCTTATGTACTGGTCCTAATCTACAAATTGATCTTCAAATGTTATTACTCAACTGGAGATTGTTTCAGTATGCATTCACAGCGGATATTGAAAAAATGTTTAGAATGATTTTAGTAAACGAAGCCGACCAGAAGTATCAGAAAATATTTTGAAGAGAAAATCGCAACGAACCAATACAAATATTTAAACTCAAAACCGTAACGTACGGAACCCGAGCCGCCCCGTTTTTAGCCATGATGACTTTGAGACAACTAGCTGCAGATGAGCGTGACAAATATCCAGAAGCGTCTCGCGTCACCGAAACAGCATTTTACATGGATGATCTTTTGTATGGAGCTGATGATATTGAAGAAGGAAAGAAATTAATAACAGACTTGAACTCCCTTATGAATTCAGGTGGATTTAATTTAAGAAAATGGGCATCGAACGACCCAAGGCTGCTAGAAGATATTAAATCAACGCGCAACAAATCCAAAGACAATGTTTATAATTTCAAAACAGAAAACACAACAAAAACATTAGGTCTTTGTTGGAACTCCGCTGAAGATAAATTCACATTCCAGTGCAACATTCCAAGACAAAGCTCACCAATAACAAAACGCAGCCTCCTTTCTGAAATATCAAGACTGTTCGACCCTCTAGGCTGGTTAGCACCGCTATCGACGAAGCTAAAACTTTTATTTCAAAAACTGTGGAAGAATGACCTTAAATGGGACGATGAAGTATCCAGTGATATTAGCAAGGAGTGGATAAAAATAAAGGCCGAATTAGATATTATTAAACAGTATGAAATACTGAGTTGGTTAATGTGTAGAAAAAATGACGTCATAGAACTGCATGGCTTCTGTGACGCATCTATCGAAGCATATGGCTGTGTCGTGTACGTCAAAGTAAAAAATCAACCGAAAACAACACTTCTCGCCGCTAAAACTAAACTTGTACCACACAAAAAAGCGATAACATTACCGAAACTAGAGCTATGTGGTGCACATCTATTATCGAAGTTGATGAAGAAAATAATAGAAGCTTTTTCTCAACATAACATTGAAATCTATGGCTGGACAGATTCAATGGTGGTCCTAGGCTGGCTGCAAGGCGAACCCAGTCGATGGAAACCATTCGTAGCGAACAGAGTACAGAAAACAATTGACGTCATGACTAGCACGTGTTGGCGTTACGTGAAGTCCAATGAAAATCCTGCCGACGCTGCCAGTAGAGGTTTATATGCGCTACAACTAAAGGAAAACTCACTATGGTGGCAGGGTCCAACATGGCTTTCATCAGCTGAAATAAAACATAAACAACTAGAAACATATACAACGAAATTAGAAGCAAAGAAACAGTGCAATGTGGGTCAAAAACAAGAAAATAAACTTATTGATAATTTACTCTACAAATACAGTTCATTCAACAAAGTTACACGAGTCGTAGCGTGGCTATTAAGGACATTCGCACCGACGCGCAAGCAAATGCCGCGATATCTCACATTACAAGAATTGTCTGCCGCAAAATTACAAATAATACGATATATACAACGAAGCGAATTTGCAACGGAAATGGAACAGTTACGCAATGAACATAAAGTTGGAGTAAAAAGCAAGTTATTTAATTTAAATCCGACCATAGATACTTGTGGAGTGTTACGTGCTGGTGGACGGTTAGAGAACGCTAATCTTAGCATGGAGATGAAACATTCGAAAATTATCCCACGAGACAGTCGCCTAGCTGAACTTTTAATAAAAGAAGCACACGAACTTACGTTTCACGGAGGTGCCCGCCTGACGATGGCTAACCTAAGACAGCAGTACTGGATCCCTGGAGGAAACAATCAAGTGAAAAAACAACTGCGCAACTGTGTAACATGTAGGAAGAACAATCCGACGAAGCAACATCAACTAATGGGAGACTTACCACCAGCGCGCGTTGAACCTGCTCTCCCTTTTTACCATACCGGGGTTGATTACACTGGATTTATAGATATTAAAGCTAACAAGATGAGAAACTCAAGAACAATAAAGGGTTACGTCGCTCTATTTATTTGTATGGTAACCAAGGCCATACATTTAGAATTGGTGACTGACTTAACATCTTCGGCGTTCCTGGCTGCCTTGAAAAGAATGGCAGCCAGACGTGGAGCTCCGCGTCACCTATACAGTGACTGCGGAACTAATTTCGTTGGAACATACCGAGTTCTACAAGAAGAATACGAGAAACTGCGGGAAACATTTGATGAACACTTTTTAGGAATTTTGGCCGGCATGAACATAGAATGGCATTTTAACGCTCCTTCCTGGCCTAGCGCGGGGGGCCTCTGGGAGAGAGCCGTGCGGAGCCTAAAGTTCCATTTAAGAAGAGTAGTAGGTGAACAACGTTTAACATTTGTAGAATTTTCAACAATCCTAGCACAGTTAGAAGCGTGTTTGAATTCAAGGCCACTCTGTGCGCTAACCGAAGATATTGAAGATTTAAAATTTTTAACACCAGCACACTTCTTAACAGGACGAGCAGAAGTAACAGTTATAGAAACAGTGGAAGATGCAAGAACGAGATGGTACCTAACTAATCAAATTTTTCAACAAATATGGAAAAGGTGGAAAACAGAATATTTATCGCAATTAAATACAAGAAACAAATGGTCACAGCCGCAAAAGAACATAGAGATCGGAGATTTAGTTATCGTGCAGGATGACAACCTACCGCCCGGGAAGTGGCCTATGGCAAGAGTAACTGACCTACATCCTGGCCGCGACGGATACGTACGCGTTGTATCCTTAAAAACAGAAAATGGTTGTATGAAAAGACCAATTGTAAAGTACTAAATTACCTTGAAACGTCATGCAGTAGTATGGAGGAACACAACAAATGTAACATGATCACACCACAGCTGCGTCACGAGTATATTGAACTACAATACTACAATCAGCTGTTACTTACGCAGCACTTTAGTGGTCACTCGAGACAGAGACGCGGGCTTATCAATGGAGTAGGCTATATCGCTAATAGCCTGTTCGGCGTACTAGACGATCGTTTCGCAGAACAGTATACACGTGATATAGAGCTTATAAAACAAAACCAAAGACATTTGAAGAACTTGTGAGTCAACCAAACATCTATCGTCGAATCAGAATATAATTTAATTAAACGAACTCAAGAAATTATGGCTAAACAACACAAGATGATAAACAAACACCTAAACAGCTTAGATAGAGCAATAAACACAGTGCAACATGCTGTAAATGAAGTCAACAAAGAGCAAGATTTTACATTAACGGCGATAACAGCAAATGGCATGCTTCAAAACTTGAAAAACATTCAAAATATGATGCTGAATACTATTTCAGACGTGTACCAGGGACAAGTCAATTTGCATCTATTAACACCAAATCAATTACAAGACCAACTAAATATTATTTCAGGGCTATTGAAAAA